AAAAGTTGTCCATTCGATTCCCAGTCAGGGCACATGCCTGGGATGTGGGCCAGGTCTCCAGTAGGGGTGCACGAGAGGCAACCCACACATTGATGTTTCTCTCCCTTTCTCCCTGACTCCCCTCCTCTCTAAAAATACGTAAATAAAAAATCTTAACAAAAAAGAACCCTTGAAGAGAAAAACAATACAGCAAAAGTTTAAAAATGCACCAAGACCAGCAATTCCAAGGAAATTATGTATGCTTTTATGTATATATGTGGATTTTCACATTGTTATTTATAATAGAAAAGTTAGAAATATTTTGTGTCCAGTAATAAGAAATTGTTAAATTATGGTTCTTCCATAAAGGAATAATTTAGAACCATTAAAAAGAGGGTAGAATTACTGATATAGGATGTTCACAGTATATTATTAAATGAAATAATGTAATTATGAAGTATAATCTCATTGTTTTAAGAAAAAATAGATATTCATTCACATACCTCAATAAAAAGGCAAAATATTAATGGTGGTTATCTCTAATTATGTTCCTGTTTTCAAATATGTACAAATATAAAAAAAGGAAAAAGGGGTATCAGGCTTTAAGGATTGTCAATAAAACAAGCTGCAGTGAGTAACAAGTGGTTATTTTTATCAAGCAGGATTATTCCTAAATCTGTTCTGCAGATAAGCCAGAAGAAAATAAGGCTAAAAGTGGCCTGGAATTCTTACAGTAATTTATTTACAAACTATCAAATACAGACTTTAAAAACAAAACAAATGAGTTAAACACATCAGATTTAACAGTTACAAGACTTTACTAATAAAGTTCTTGCAAAAAAAAGTACAATACCTTTACCACAAGTTAACTGTGGAAAAATAAAAGGGTGATTCACACACAGCCTCATTTTGAATGCAATTAGAATCCAGAGAATTCTTTTTTTAATGGGACATTTGATATAGTGAAAGAAGTAACACCCACAAAATTTTAGTCTATATAATTCAAAGGGCAAATCATTTTCATTTATTAAAATTTTGTTTTCCCCATCTTCAACTGGATCCCTTGATAGATTAATATGTTAATAGCTTTTATTTTTACTTAAACTAAAAACAGTTTAGGAAATTATCTGGAGAAGGCTTTGGTACATGACAAACTATTGCTCCCCTTATAAAATAACTTAGAAATGCTAAAACCTTGAAAAAATATAAAAGCAGTGTTTGCAGGCCTGCTGATATCTTCCTCCTACAAATAGAAAATACACTTTAATGATTTAGTCTTATCATCTATTGTTCGATACTTAAGTAACTACTGTCTTTAAAAAAAAAAAAGAGGAACCTCCTTTTAAAAGTCTATCCACAAATGAAACAGTCTCTAAGGGCCCCTAATTACATATTCTAAAATTTATCTTCTTACTTTTTCTGAATTGTTTTTAAGTTGACTTTAAAGCCACCTATGTTCAATTAGTTGTTCAGTATTCTAAATTTAATTATTTTATTTTACAAAAACACTGATATTTTAACCATCAATATTCTTATTGAAAGGTTAGGTATTTACTGCATAATTTAAACATGGCTAGTCATAATTTAGACTGCATAATTTAGAGGAACAAGCAATGGCACTCCATCTCTCCTAAGTCTCATTTTTCTTAGCAGTAAAGTGAAGAGTTAGACCAGATAATTTTAAATTAATGGGATATCCTGTTCAGACTTTTAAAATATCAAAACTTACATCCCAGGGAATCAGATTTTTATTCAAAACTTGTATTTCAGATTTAATTCTAAATAAATAAATAAATAAATAAATAAATAAATAAATAAATAAATCAGAGTGAAAAATGATCAAAAGTTGGATTAAGTTTATGGTAAATGTTAGGAAAAATAGATAGCAAACCAAGGCAGAGAGGGGGAGATGGACACATTTCACCTATTAATTCGGCAGTCCTGAGCCACATCAGGTAAGATTGCCAGGTGTTCCAAAAATCACAAGAAAATCCATGATAACACAGAAGGAGGGGAACCTTTGAAATTCTGTGTATCGTTTCTACTATCTAGGATAAAGTCTTTGAAACTGTATGTTAATCCCAAGGTCCGTGTTAGGAAGGAAGAGGGGGAACCTTGAAAGTGGCTTCAAGCATAAAACTCCTAAAACTCCAAATAATCAGGGCACTCAAGACTAGCTGGGTATCTGCATGCAGCTTCATGCTCAAGTGTATTTCATAAACAAACTTGCTATCTCATTTCCACTATGCATGCTGTTTCTCACCTGAATTCATTTCTCCCTAGTGAGACAAGAACCCAGGAGGAGAAGCCCCCTAACTCAGGTCTCCTCAGTAACAGCAAAAATAGCAGAATTTTAACTCAGAATTATCAGTAAGAGTAGTTTGAAGGCATTGAACCCATTTACCTTCCAATTTTCTCAAGAAATCTTGGTATGTCCTACAAATTGGCCTACTGGAAACTAGATAGATGCAACAAAAATTTTCATCATTTAGTTTACAGTTGTTCTCTTTCCAGAACCTTTCTTTTTCAAGTATGACTTTAAAATTTTATAAAGACAATCACATTTTCAAGCAGCAAATACCACTAGCCCTTCCAGACACTTTTTAAATCTTGTTCATTGTCACCGACCATACCAGAAGTATGACTTAATGCCTTTCATGTTTATTGATGTATTCTAAGTCGTTAGCATAATACCTAGCACTTGGTAGGCAAAAAATATGTATTTGCTAACAGAATGAAATTCTGAATCACAGCTAATACATTACCTTAATTCACACTCCATGAACATTTTCATCAATGAACCCCTTAAAGAGTCTTTTTGAAATTACAAGGGTAACTGCAACTCTCTAACACATGATGGATTCAAGATGGGAAACTTAATGAGTTGCATGCAGAAAAACTTGCTTGTGTTAGGAAATACACATAGGAATTTCACATGTGAAACAAATATTTTCTTTTTTTAAGTCAATCTTTTCTGTTTTCATCATCTTATTTACAATCTAACCAGTTTATTTCCAAAAAACAAGCAGTATTTTATGTTCCTTAGATTTCACTCAAGAATACCCAGTGGTTACTGCAATTTTTATAACCTACAGAAATAGCAATTTCCCAAACCTCCTCTTATTAGTCCAAATTCACAAAAATAATAAGTGTTATAGAACACATTAATATTTTTACTACCATATTTCATCAATTTTAAGACATTCTTTCACATAGTAACATGTCTGAATTTGGGAAGTATCTTTATATTGATGCATCTTACTTACAATTCTGTTGTGGTTTAATTGGCTGTATTATTTCTAAGTGGTGCATAAAATATTATTGGTATATCTCTCAATCAATACTGTCTTAGGGTAATATTAAAAGTTGCAGTTCAAATTTTCAGTTTCAAGCAATAATTTCCCTATCCTCCCAGCCACTCTTGCAACATAAAGACATAGCTGAAATGTTTCATTAGAAAAACTATCCAAACACAGTTCAATTTTATATAAAATATTTAATTTTTAAAACACAGGCTATTCATGTCACATAAATATCTTCAATTTTATGTTAGCTACTATGGTCAGAATTAACAAGTGTGACTATTAAGAATAACTTAGATACTGTCACTTATAGGAAGATCTAAAGGTCTAAGAGTCACCATATTGAAATTTCAGATACTTGAATACTGTAGCTATTTTGCAAAAATTCAAAATATTTCTTCACTTCCTGAAAATGTAGTTTCATTATAAGTTGTTAATATCCAAATAAAAGCAAAATAACTTGTTCTTTTGTTCACTTCTCCCCAACAAAAAAAATCCAATAAAAAATAGGATGGTTAACTGACATCATTTTTAGCTATAAAATGGTAAATTTTAAAGTATTCTTACTGTCACCATGTACTATTTTAAACGAAGTCTCACAAGTAAGACAGGGGGTACAGGGTTAAAAGACTGACTTTAGAACTGGAACAATTTCCATTCTGTAACTGTTGTTGTTTCAACTTAAGATTCCAATAAAAAAGTAACTTATCAGGAGAGAACGGTTAAAACAAAATGGTTAATCAGCATAACTCATTTCCAGAGTCTATTTTTCCATTTAGTAACATCGAAACACTGGTTATTTAACTTTGGTTCCTTTTTATAATTATTATAATTATCGGTGTGTGTGTGCACAAAAAATTATACTTGATACCATCACAGTTTAAATAAGAATCTGTCCATCATTCTTTGTTGCTTTTAATTTAAAAAAAGTGTTGAAATGAACTAAAGTTGCTTTAAGTCTGGCAAAAGTCCTAATAAACCTCACAGAAGGTGAGAGGAGGGGAAGATAAGAGGTTTTCCTTCACTTTTTCTTTGCTGTAGTAAATTCAATCTAGGCAATGTTTCCAGTTAACAAGTTATTTTTTTCATAAAATGGCAATTGTATTAACTTAAAATATGGTATTTGCCTCACCTCCCCCCATGAACATTAACAGATATTCAAATTCTATTATTATGCCTTGCTTCTATGCTACTAAGCCCTCCCATTATCCATGGCAAATGGAAACAAAAACATATGGCAAGCCTAAAAGAAAACTGAAATACTCATTAAGCTATTACTTCCAATCATTGAAATGACAAAACTTTTTAGAACTTAATCAGAAGTAACAAAGTAGTGATTGCAGTTCTACTCCCTTTCTTTACTCTTACTAAGAGAAGATGGTAGTGGAAGGTAACAGCCCAAAGAGAGGCAAAAAAGGAGGAAGTGTGGTAAGCAGAGAGAATGGATCTAACAGGACTTGAATAGGCAGACCCCAAACACCCAAGAGCTCCCTTCCTCTTCAATACAAACATATTGATTCCTTTTAGAAGACAAATGGGTATAAAGGTTAAGTACTTTTTCAGACCTTAAGCTTACCTGTTAAGGCACTTACTTACCCTCCCCAACCCACCCATATTTTTCATATAAAACCCATTATTTCATTTGAATGCATTTTGCTAGGTTATGATAATCTGCAAAATAAAACAAAAATAACATTGACCATTTCTTTTATAAAACTGTTGCATCAAGAGAAAGGTTATGTTTTATTTTCTGAAATGAGCACAAAGTACACCTTTCACAATAACACTGAAAGCAGGTGCAAAGACTGACAGTGACCTTTGACTAAAGGTAGCTTTGTAAAAAGAAAAATACCAAGTAAATCAGTGCCCTTTCTGATTGTTGTAAAACTGGAGAAGGGAGGGGTTGGTTGGTTGTTACATAAAAGTTGGTCCAAACGTACAAAAAAAAAAAAAAAAAAAGCACAAATGTGCATAGTTCAAAACTGCAAGAGGGCCATAAAAGCTTTTATGTCCCTAATATTAGCATCCACTTAAAACTGCAAGAATACAAAATAAAATTGTTAGCTAGAATTTGTGAAGATGTACAATCAACAGATCTAGTTTTTAGAACAGCATGAATTTAAGCAGGGTTTTTTTTTTTTTGGTCTTTTTTAAAACTATTGTATGCAAGACCCTTTTCACATAAAAATAAAGCTGTTGTTGAATTATTATTATTCAAGTCTCTTGGATTGCTGCCTTAAATTGCAGCTAGAAAAGTCTTTCCAGATAAAAATGATGTGCCTGAGGAAAAACTGATACTCAGTATGGTAGCCCTCTGCCTCGACCTCTGCCAGCTGATGTGCTAATGTGTCCCCTGTATCCTTGTGAATATCCAGGTCCTTGGGCAGGAGAAGTCCAGGTCTGTCCATGCATGAGGCTGGGGCCACCTGGGTTTTCCTGTAAGGTACCACCATAGTTATAGTTGTGCATCTTTCCTGGCAAAGCATGAGTACTCTCTGGCCCTGTAGAAGGGTCATTGCTGTTTGCCAGGACTGCAATGGGGCCATGGCTATATTCAAATCTATGATCCTTGTCTCCACTAAATAACATGGGACCAGTATTGAGGTAAATGTCTCCATATCCAGCTACTGAACTGGGAAATGACTCAGGAAAGGCAGAAGGCTGAGGTGGACCACCAGAATGAGATGAAGTAGTACTGTAGTTATCCAAAGACTGAATTTCTGAGTTTCCAATGAAGCTATGTCGTTCCAATGGTGGAGCAGAGCTACCTCCTAGACCATCATTACTAACATAAGGAGCGGAAGAGAAAGAAGAGGGTCCAAAATTGTCCTTGTAGTCTGAAGTGGATGCATAAGTATCTCCTGTCTGGTAATCAATACCACCTTCTCTTTTAGGATCATCTTGGGGCTGATGCTGAGCTAGTAGCTGCAACAGGGCTGCTTTCACTCCAGCATGAGGGTCAGTTAATGAAGAGCTAGTAGTGGGTACGTGCTGGTTTTCTGTCCGATAATCCAGATCTTCTTCAGTGACTGGTGGTGGTTCAGGTGGTTCAGGAGGTCGTTGATCAGGAGGCAGAATACGAGGCCGATCTGCTTCTGGTGTGAGTTCTAATATCCTCATGTCTTGGTGCTGGATGAGATCATCTTGCCCTAAGTGGAAAAAAAAAAAGGCCAAAAAAAAAAAAAAGTATTTACTGTGGAAAACTAAATGTTCAAAATAGTTAATGTTTCCTGTGGGTGGTCCTAAAGAGCATTAGAAGTTCCATCTCTGCCCATACTACCCCCAAAAAAAAGAAAAGGAAAAAAATTAAATAAAAAAGAAAAGGGTATATAAGTACTAATATTGCCTGCTACTATCTAAGTCTATGGTGACCGAAAAATCTCTTATATACCTGTTTATTGCTTGAAGAACAAAAGCTACTATATATGCAAAATTTCTGCCTTGGTCAATCATCCTGTTGTAGTTGGAGTAAAAGACTGCTTCTTTACCATAGGTTTACATGAGAAAAATCTATATATAACTAATAATGAGTTATATTGCACATGGTTAATTTGCTGAAGAATCAATTCCTAGAAGTAAACAGACAAAAAAACTAACCTAAGCCCTGAGAAGTGTCAGCTATCTCTTAGCAATGCCACTAAATAACACACATTATAGATAATAACTGCCAACAAGAAAACCGTGTGAATGCAGCTACATGAGTGGTCTGCTACTTGCATACTCACCTGATGATACTGGAGTGCTAGGTTCTGGAGGTGGCCTGAGCTGTAATGATGCTTCGTGTCCTGCTCCATTTTCTCTTTCTTCTAGAAGCACGTCTTTCTGCTTTGACTGCTGAGCCTTTATTAACTGAGTCAATAGAACTGCAAATGCACTCTGCACAGCCGCCTGGGCAGCATCAGTTTCCACTTTAGGCTGGAGGCTCTGAGAAGGCTGAATTCCTCCCAATGGTTTCGAAGACTCCTGTTGTGGTGTTGATGGATCTGTCTGTTTTTCACCTGTTGCCAAAATTCCAGCAGGAAGGTTTATTTTACTTAGCTGCTGTTGAGTCTCAAAGTTTACCTTAATGTTCAACACTTGGACAAAATCAGCCATATTAACATTTGTTTTAGATTGTAGCGGTTAAATAGAATTGCCAATTCACTGTGGTTTAACTGCTGTCCAGGGCCTGTTTTTACTCAAGACAAAGTTTATATTAATTAGAATTGCCATAATCTACAGCTCCCCCACCCACAAAATGGCTCTGTATGACCATATGAAAGTGAATATTTGTAGGACAGTGTTTAAGAAACACTGTGAAAAGGGAATCTTGGTCTAGTTTAATTTCATATACATTTAAGATGTAACTGCATATAAATTACAACAAAAAAAGAACTGTGGTCTGTGTTGAATAAATTATCTTAGGGGTAAATACTTCAAAAGGAAAATCAAGACTCTCACACTATAAATATAACCAGGAAATATCACCTGTGAATGGTAACTAGCTAATGATGATGATAGCTACAGTGTCAGGTACTTTATAGGCATTTTATGTCCTTTATTACTCACAACAACAATATAAGGCATGCTCTATTATTAGCCCAATTTTTTACTGAAGAAGAAACTGACATCCAGAAATAGTAAATAACTTGCCTAAGGTCACAAACTCTGTAAGTGGCAGAATTAAGATTTGAACCCAGTATTCTCAACTACTGCTTATCTAAAATAATGCTTATTATCTAAGAACCTAACCTTATATTTATAGATAATTCAAACTAGGATGTTGTAGACTCTTCGATAAAGTATACTTTATTCAAATTACTTTTTTAAAATTTTAAGTTACTTTGGGTAAAGATATTAACTCATCACCAGCAAAACAAATTCAGGTTTGTGCAAGGTTATTTGAGTCATGTACAGGGGCAGACAAAAGTAGGTTTATAGTTGTGATTATGCAGTTTATTCATATATTATTTATTCATTAATTACTGTATTTATTATTATTAACCTACTTTTGCCCATCCCTATATAACACAGCTCAAATGTATATAAATATGTTAAGTGATAATACAGACTCTGATAAACAATTTCCATAACTACATAGAAATGAAACTCCAAAACAATGAAAAACTGATAATACTGTCTCTTTATACTCTCTATAGATTTTGAGATTTTTAGATTAATTCATAACAAACTTTTGCAAGTTATTCTCATGACCTGCAGCATTAATAATGAACAAAGTCTGATTACTATACCTCATGGGCCAGTTTTCCTGTTTTCCCTTTCATTTCTCTATTAACAGAAGCAGTCTCTGTGTGAGCTCGGAGAAGTAATCTTTAACTATGGTATCTCCTCTACAAAAATGGCATTTCCTTATTTCAAGACATTTACTGATTAATAAAGAAAATAAAGCAAAGAGAAAACATTCCTATTTTTAAAAAAAAACATACAGAATTCTCACTTAATAGTTAAAAAAAAAAATTGGTCTGGCCAGGTAGCTTAGTTGGTTCGAGCATCCCAATATGCTCGACATCCCAAGCATATTGGAATCCCAAGCATATTGGGATTCCAATATGCTTGGCATCCCAATATGCCAAGGTTATGGGTTCGATCCTCAGTCAGGGCACATATAAGAATCAACCAACGACTGCATAAATAAATGGACCAACAAACTGGTATCTCTCTCTCTAAAAACCAATAAAAATAAAAGGAAAACAAAATAAAAAGAAACCTCTTCACCATTAATAGGGCTGTTAATAAGTAGATAAGAAACAACAACAAAATGAGCCCACAAAAGGCAATTCATTTTTTACCAGCTAAAATAGAGTGAAATAACTAGCCTCTATGCCACTAGGTTTGGTAGTGGAATAAGGACAACAGTTTCATGAATAGGAATAGAAATAAAGACCTGATAGTCTTGTTATGGAATATGACAACTGTCACCTGAGACAACTGACCACTATTCACACTTATTAAAGCCATTTCCGATCGTTCCAGTAGTAGGTATATAAAACATGTAACCTATATACAAATTAAGAAAACTTCCTGTTGATTCTATTTTGCCTTTCTCCTTATTTTACCCATTTTTAACGTGAAAAGAAATAATATTGAACTTGATGTACACAGCCTTCATGGTGTGTACAATAGATGTGTTTTCCAAATCTTTGTATACCGAATATATTTTCATGTACAAGGGGAAATCACTATTTTGAGAAATTCTGAAGAATGTTTCTCTAGAACAAATAGCAATTGCTTCTGGCTTTTAAAGTAACACGTATCGACACTTTAATGTAGTCTGACCAAGGTCAAGTACGAGCTTGTAGATTACATGGGATAAGTATTAAAGATAATTTTCCTCAAACTTTCTCAGCTAATCTACTCTATTCAATCACCAAAAGCTCAATTTGATTCACAGATCTGTTATAATCAACTAACAAATCAATATTCACCCATTTCTTAATAAGTACTAGGGTACTTTTTATGTTTAATAAACTGCCACCTCTACACACACACACACACAGGCATACCTTGGAAATAGTGCTGGTTTGGTTGCACACAAAGTATTGCAATAAAGCAAGACAACATCCATTTTTTGGTTTCCCAGTGCATATATAAGTTATGTTTACTATCAGGTATGCAATAGCATTATGTCTAAAAATATAATATATATACCTTTTTTTAGTTAAAGAAAAGGTATATATAATAAAAAATGCTAACCATCATATAAGCCTTCAGCCAGTCAGTAACCTTTTCACTGATGGAGCGTCTTGCCTTGATGTGGATGGCTGCTGACTGATCAGGGTGTTGGCTGCTAAAGATTGGAGTGGCTGTGGCAATTTCTTAAAATAAGACAACAATGAAGTTTGCCACATCAACTGACTCTTCCTTTCACAAACATTTCTTCTGTAGCATGATATGCTATTTGATAGCACTTTACCAAAGTAGAACTTCTTTCAAAATTGGCGTCAAACCTCTCAAACCCTGAAACTGCTTTATCAACTATTTATATGCAATATTCTCAAATCTTTGTTGTCATTTCAACAGTCTTCACAGCATCTTCATCAGAAGTAGATTCTAGCTCAGAAAACCATTTTCTTTTCTCTTCCATAAGAAACAACTCTCATCTGTTGAAGTTTTATCATGAGACTGTAGCAATTCAGTCACATCTTCAGGGTCCACTTCTGCTTCTAGTTCTCTTGCTCTAACACATCTTACTTCCTCCCCTGAAGTCTTGAATCCTCAGTCATCCATTTCAGTTGGAATCATCTTCTTCCAAATGCCTGTTAATGCTGATATTTCAATATCTTTCCACGAATCATGAATGTTCTTAATGACACATAGACTGGTGAATCCTTTGCAGAAGGTTTTCAGTTTACTTAACCCAAACCCATCAGATGACTCTCTATATCTAGGGCAGTTATACCCTTACTAAATATATTTTTTACAAAATAGTAAGACTTCAAAGTTGAGATTACTACTTGATCCATGAGCTGTACATGGATGTTGTGTTAACAGGCATGAAAACAACATTATCTCATTGTACATCTCCTTCAAAGCTCTTGGGTGACCAGGTGCATTGTCAAAGAGCAGTAATATTCTGAAGAGAATGTCTTCTGCTGAGCAGGAGGCCTCAATACCAGGCTTATGATACTCAATGAACTATGTTATAAACAGCTGTGCTGTTGTCCAGGCTTTGTTGCCCTATTTATAAAGCACAGGCAGTGTAGATTTAGTGTAATTATTAAGAACTCTAGGATTTTAGGAATGGCAAATGGCATTGGCTTCAACTTAAAGTCACCAGCAGCACTGGCCCCTAACAAGAGCGTCAGCCTGTCCTTTGAAGTCAGCCTAGACCTTGACTTCTGTCTAGCTATCAAACTCTTAGATGGCATCTGCTGTTTTACCTACACTGAAAATCTGTTGTATATTGTAGTTGTTTAGTGTGATACCTTCATTAATTATCTTAGCTATATTTTCTGATAGCTTGCTGCAGCTTTTACACCAGTACTTGCTGCTTTGCTTTGCACTTTTATATTATGAAGATGGCTTCTTTCCTTAAATCTCATGAAGCAATCTCTGCTAGCTTCAAATACTTCTTGTGCAGATTTCTTACCTCTCTAAGTCATCACAGAACTGAGAGTTAGGGCCTTGCTTTGGATTAGGCTACAGCTTTAGAGAATGTTGTAGTTGGTTTGATCTTCTGTCCAGACCACTAAAACTTACTGTATATTAATAAAGCTATTTTGCCTTCTCAATCTTGTTTTTACTATGGTACTTTTAATTTCCTTAAAGAACTTTTTCTTTGCATTCACTACTTGCCTAACTGGCACAAGAGGCCCAGCTTTCCACCTATCATTGCATCCAAGATGCCTGCCTTACTAAACTTAATCATTTCTAGCTTTTGATTTAAAGTGAGATGTGTCTCTTCTTTTTACTTGAACACTTAGAGGCCATTATGAGGTTGTTAATTGACCTAATTTCAATATTGTTGTGTCTCAGGGAATAAGGAGGGCCACAAACAGGAAGAGAGATGGGGGAAAGTTAATGGAGCAATCATAACACATACAACATTTATCAATTAAGTACAAGGTCTTATATGGGCACTTTAGTGGTATCCTAAAACAATTACAATAGTAACATCAAAGATCATTGATCACAATACATATAATAATGATGAAAAACTTTGAAATATTTTTAGAATTATCAAAATGTGATACAGAGACACGAAGTGAGCAAATGCTGTTAGAAAGATAGCACCAATATACTTGCTCAATGTAAGGTTGCCACAAACTTTGATTTTGTGAAAATTGCAATTATCTGTGAAGTGCAGTAAGGCATAATATAATAAAACAAAGTATGGCTGGCCCTGACTGGTTAGCTCAGTTGGCTGTGCATCAACCCGCAAAGCACAAGGTTACCAGTTTGATTCCCAATCAGGACACATGCTTGGGTTGTGGGCCTGGTCCCATTTGGGCACATGTGAGAGGAAACTGATCAATGTTTCTCTCTCACATTCTTGTTTCCCTGTCTTTCTCCCTCCTTTCTACTCTCTCTAGAAATAAACAAAATTTTTTAAAAAAGAAAACAAAGTATGCCTGTATTTATGTCATATCTGCCTCTGCCTTCATAAGAAAATTAAACTAAAGATAAATGCTTTCTGTTTTTCTGAGGCCAAGTTAGGGAGTGGATTCCATTTTTTAGAGGTAACACTGAAGAGATTCAATCTTATATAACTTTTGAGATTCTATAATATAATGGGAAATTTATTAAGAGTAATCTGCAGCCTTGCAGATGCTGCTGCCCTGTCAACCCCACAGTGTTTTCAACATCACTGTCAACCAACAGCCCTTGGGCCTTGTCTCCTTCGAGTTCTTTGCAGACAAAGTTCGAAAGACAGCAGAAAACTCATGCTCTGAGCAATGGGGAGCAAGGACTTGGTTATAAAAGTTCCTGCTTTCACGTAATTATTTCAGGATTCATATACCAAGGTGGTGACTTCAAGGCCATAATGGCCCAGGTGGAGAATCCATCTATGGAGAGAAATTTGATGATGAGAATTTTATCCTGAAGCGTATGGGTTTAGGCATCTCGTTTCATGGCAAATGCTGAACCCAACACAATGCTACCCGGTTTTTCATTTGCACTACAAACTGAGTGGTTGGACGGCAAGCATGTGATCTTTGGCCAGGTGAAGATGGCATGAATATTGTGGTAGCCATGGAGAGCACTTTTGGGTGCAGGAATGGCAAGATCAACAAGAAGATCACCACTGCTGCCTGTGGACAACTCTCATAAATTTAACTTGTGTTTCATCTTAACCACCTGACCATTCCTTCTGTAGCTCAGGAGAGCACCCTTTTACCCCAGTCTGCTTGGAATGTTCTGTAATTATGATGTTCTCACCAGAGTTCACTGGGTTCCATATTTTTCTTACCCCTTCCAAGTCTAGCTGGATTGCAGAATTAAGTTTATGATTAAGAAAGAAAAATTAAATTACTGTAAAAAAAGTAATGAGGATATTATAGAGTATGAAAGAGCTTCTATTACAATTTTTGGCTATTTTCCTGGTTTTTTTTTCATCTTACATCTTAAGCATTAACAGACATTAAATGCTGACCCCCAGTGAGAACAGTGTTAGTAAAAGACCTACTGACTCCTGCACTAGGAGAAAAAAAGGAAGTAGAGAAATCTGAGTAATGACTAGTCACATGTAATTTGAAGCCTTTTTATAAATTAATCTTACCTTGAGATTCCTTAATATCGTGGTGCCACTAGCAGTGACACATCTGTACTGGCACAAGCAAATAACAATGAAATGTCAAGTTCAGTAAATAAACCTTAATGTTCAACTTTTAACCTCAAATGCTTTAACACTACAGCAACATAATCAAGAGTAGCCAAAAAACAACTTGAAGAAAACCAACCCATGAAAGCATTACTGACCAGGTGCTACATTTGAGTTGCCCTGAGATTTCAATTGTGAAGTTGGCAGCACACCCTGGGGTGTATTGGTTCTGCTGTCATCTAAGCCCAGAGACGAGTCCTTTCTGGGGGCTTTAATTGTGGAAACATCATCAGTCATGCCCATCTGCTTCTGTCTTCTTCGCTTTTTACTCCATAACTCATGACAGTCTTGCCATAAAGGAAGGCTAGAAAAAAAAAGAATAAAACTGTTCATCAGTGGCATTTCTTAACAACAACAAAAAGCTAAATACAAACAAAGCTGCCACTCCCCCCGCCTAAAAGTTGCTGAAGACTTCACACATAGGCTTAATAAATTCTTCCAATGAAAACTGACCTTGATGCCCCACCTCCTTCCAAACTTCACCTTTTAAGTAGACTATTTTTTATGGTTTCTGAATAATCAATAGATAATCATTTATTAAAACTATAATGAAGAATAATAAATAGTCATAAAAGTAGGTTACAGTTATCCTTGATGCAATCTTTCAAAGCCAGTTCTATCATAGCACATAATATATTGAATATTACATGAAGACAAAAGGCAAAAGAGATGCCATTTGCAGAAATTAGATGCAATGTAAAAAAAGTACTAAAGGGTAGGACATAACATTTCTGAAAAATTTTCTAGTAAAAACTTTTATCTTTTTAATACCCTCATATTTGCTTCTGTAAGCAAATGCTCTAGAATTAAACTAATGCTAGAGGTGTTTTAATAATAGGTAATCCAGGCTCTTTACTCATCAACAAAGAGTTCGGAACAACTAGCAACTATCAAACTTACCCTTAATTCTGAAACAATTCTACCTGAATGTAATTTCATAAGCTTGATAACAATACAGAATAACTTTTGCTTAAAGAAAGACATAAATAATTGATTTATAAATATCTTCTTCTTACCCTAATAATCCAATGGGAAGTTACCATGATATCTACTTAAATGTGAGAAAATTAAGGCTTGGAAAGGTTAATAAACTTGCCCAGAATAACTACAAATTCCCTTGAGCAGCCCCAACCTGGTGATATATCTGCAGTCTATAACCTGTACATGTTTTCCTCTAAGGGTACATGAAGACTTTCTAAGGGGGTACACCTGAAATTGTTTTAAAAGAATTTCTATATCCATATGTCCTCTTTCCTAAAATTGGTCTTTGGGCATGGCCTGCACATTCAGTAAATTCTTAATGCTTCCTCTTTTGCAATTACCCTTATCTCATGTTATAAAATAAGGACATATACAACAATATGGTTGACTCTTAGCTATGTAATATAATATTAAATAAAGCAAGGTCATTCCCAAAAGATTACAAACAGCATGACAACCCTTATAAAATTAAAAACAACTAAAATTTAAAAATATAAATTGTTATGAGTACATATAGATGGCAACAAAATTATATACAAAAGAAAACAGGGATGATGGTTACCTCAGGTGGAGGAAGGCAAAGGGATATATGTCATGGGATAGGACCAGGGGGAAGGGAGAAGGTATGATGTGATTCAAGTAGGTTATTTTTAAGAATCTAGCTTTTATTTGGTAGGCTCATGGGTACTTATCAATACCATTTGAAATAACTAATCAAATCACATAACTAAAAGAAAAAAAAGAGAGCCATGCATGGACCAATGATGAGTGACACAAGGATTATGATTAAATCAAGTCTATGCACCTGAGGTCCAAAAACAAAACAAAGGCATACCTCTCAGCCATCTTACTATGGTGCATTGCCTCAGCGTGTAAAAACCTCCTGGAGTAACAAACAAAGGGACAATTTGAAATATTGATATTGGGAAGCTATAAGGCATCATAATCCCGCCAAAGCCTTTCCTTTCTCTCTTCTCTCACTCTTTCCCTTTGCATGTGTGTCTTTGTGAATGTGTATTTTAAGATGTGTAGCCTTAGCCTCTGTTGGAATATTCTGAATTCAGATATACTGCAGTAGTGCAGTAACTGGAGTGATTTCACTTCCTCCATCCCAATGTTCAGGGAATGCATAGAACTTGTGAAAGAAAGAGTCCCATAAGAGTAACACAAAAAAATTCCACTAAAAGGTAATTTGAATGTAAAGTATTCTACATGGATGATTTTAAAACTCATCTCCAGGAAAGATAAACATTATCCAACAAATAGCTAAAACAGTACAGGTTAGTGATACTGACTCACAGATATATAGTAGGACTGTTTTCTTAGATGAATAAATTTTTATATACTTTTCTGAAGGCTCAAATATTGGTTCAGCCACTTACCTATTGTGTCTCATGAGGCAAGTAATGACCTTTGTGCCCCAGTCACCTTGTCTTTAAAAATGAGATAACAATACCTTATGGGGTAGAGGTAATATATGTTAACTTATGTAAGTGCTTGGACATAGGCACTATATTCATGTGTGATAACACTTATCATTTAATATGGTAGCTTAAAGCTATTTTTAATCAAATCACATCATGAAATATTTATTCTAATAAAGTTGATCATATTTTATCTTATAAACTGTTTAATGCTTTATAGTTGCTATTAAGGAAAATTAAAATTATAGTGTAGCTGCCATTCTGATTTATTTTTCAACAGCTATACTTTTTCCTTTTCACTAAATACATTGGAAAGTTAGGACATCTAATACAATTAATGGAGTTATTTTTGTGTTTTTTTATAACCTACTCTCACTTGATTATTCCAAAAAAATTGATCAGAACAGTTTAATACATAAACATATTTCCTGAAGGAATACCATGCCTTTTTTCATAGTCCTTAGTGTATAAATAATTTGTAATTTTATTACATATTACAAAATGAGGATAATATTGTTTATGTAACTTTTTATTTAAATATTACATTGACATCATTATAACTGACTGCATTAGTGATGTATCTAACAAAATTTGATGTACCCCCTAACTTATTACTGCTTTACAGAATTTTCACCAAAATGCACATTAACATTTACTTTTAATGGAAAAAAAAAAGCTATGTTCTGATAAAAACTGAGTAAATTTGGGTGATACATTTGACAGTATGAACAGTGTTTCTAATTAGGTTATGCGGCAGACATTTTTCATAAACTGAATGGAATACATCTATAGTTCCAAGGTATGGACAAAAACATATTTTTTAAAAAATGTAATAAAAAACACAATTTAATAAATTGATTGGTAAAGCAACACTAAAATTACATGCTGACTTTCTACCCTCTTCTAAGTATAGTGGATTAAATAAGTATTCAAAAAGTTTCTTCGGTTTACTTTCCCCAATTTAAAAAATTAAATGATTAATGACTGAGTAACATATCTTTTGTCAAGTCATATGGTTTCCACATCTTTACTGTCAAAACGTTAAAGGAGAAAAAAAATCATATGTTTACATCTGAAAGATCATTAAAATAATTTTTGATGACAGATTACTGTATGATTGGGGGCTTAATATGGAGGGATTTCAAAGAATTCAGTGATATAACTATGACAAAACCCCACTTATTCTCAAATGTTTGCTCACAAGGGTACTTACTAAAATAAAACTGAAATTAATGTGGAACTATGTTTCATTCTAGAATATGTACAATTAATTGATAGGCAAATTACACAGAGAAAAAAATCTCAGCCCTATTTACTTCATTATGTTGCATTTCCAATAAAATTTAACTTTCTTTTCTTAACTGAAATATGTACTATTAATATTTGCAATGACAAATTCATCAAGAGAGAGCTTTGTAGTCAGATCTTAAAAATTCAATTTCCATTTATATGTATACATATACTTATTTTAAAGATGTGTAATAGTATAATCAATATAAAACTTTCAAGCAAAAATATGTGTTGCACTAAAAACCTGCAGAAGAATGCCCTAGCCAGGTGGCTCACTTGGTTGGAGCATTATCCCATACACTGAAAGAGCTGTGGGTTCAATCCCTGGTCAGGGCACATACCTAGGTTGCAGGTTCAATCTCTGGTTGGGGCACATGCAGGAGGCAACATTCAATGTTTCTCTCTCTCTCTCCCTCTAAAGTCAATAAACATATCCTTGTCTGAGGACTTAAAAATAAAAAAACCCCTGCAGAATCAATATAAGTTAAAAATGAACAATGTCAAATTGTTAGAGTTTCTTCATACATTTTCTAAGTGAATGTTTGTGAATATAAAGATGCTAAGACATTCCAATTCCACTGAATGTTTTTAAGAATGATGTAACTGCTCCATTTAAGTGTCAACATTTATGACACACTGATAATTACATCTTTTGCAACTATTAAACCTTGATTTAAAAAGTTTAGATGTCAGTTAAAAATATACTTTGATACAGTTTTACCAGAAGTTTTTCATGTGTCAACTCCCACTGCCAATAGTGGGAAACTACAAGTCAACTCCCACTGCGAATAGTGGGAAAAAAACTGCATTATGTTCCCCTTGATATAATACAGCAGGAAGCACACATCAGTACCTAGGCAGTACTCCTGCCTGCCTCAACCCCAAAAGATATTCTAATTCTGATCACAAGAAAACAATTAAAGCTAGATTTTTATAATGTTTTTCAAAATAGCTAGCTTCAACTCTTCAAAAATGTCAATGTTATAAAAACCCTTCTCAAAGAGTAATTAAAGGCTGAAGGGACATGAAAGCTAAATGAAATGTGTAAGCTCTGAATAAATTCTTCATTCCCCACTGCCACAAAAAAATAATAGCTATAATTTGATTATAGGAAAAACTGGAGAAATATGACTATTAGATATTGTAATGTTAAATTTGTTATGCTTTATAATGGTACTATAGTTATACAAAATTAAGTTGTAGTTCTTATAGGTACATATGCATTATTTATAAATGAAATGTCATGTCTACAATATAACATTTAAACAGTTCAGAAAAAAGGTTTATATAGAGTGATAAATCAAATGTGTCTGTGTCCAAATATTAATGTATTTGGTGAATCTACGTGAAGAATATATGAATGCTCACTGTATTATTTTTCTGTTTTAGACAATTTTTCAAACCCAAAATTGAAAAAAATTCTTTGAAGGGATACCAGAGCCAAAGTTTCAAGACTGCTGATATCTACTGATAAGCAAAAAAATAACTTAAAAATATTTAAATGAAACAATTCAACAATGAATAATTCAGTTCCCTCAACCTGTCAGATGATACATCCTTAATGCCTTTCAAATTGTCCCACAAAAGCTATTCATAAACAGCAAAAACGTAATGAAGCTGAATATGATGGCCTCAGAAATACAGGAAGTCCAATCTAAGTGAAAAGTAGAAGAGTCAAGATCTGAACTCCAAAGCCCATGTTTGTTCATTTATAATATATAAACTGTATTACATGAAAATCTTTTATTATAGGGATAGGCTTGCTTTTATGATGCTCATCATCATTTTAAAATTAAGAAAATCCCTACGAAGTCTCTAGATCCTACCAAGAACCAAATGAACTGCTCTGTCTCCTCACCTTTTCCCAAATCTATTTCTAGAGAAATTACAGAAGCTTCAAGAGAGTGAAATTTCAAGAATCCAGCTGTTCTGACTCCCCAACTCTATGCATTCCATACCCCCACCACTGGATAATAAACTTACTCTATAAAGACTTTTGATACTAATATTATTCTATCCAGTGATAAAATTTTTCTATTATATAGTCTGCCAAAGAATATTTCATAACTTCTTTCTCTTATTGGACTAACTTGAATTTGAGAGCTGGCTCTGCCACCTGTTACTATATTTGTATTCTTGGGCAAGTTTTTTAACCTCTTTGAGCCTGCTTCCTCCTCTGTAAAATGGTGATGATAATAATAACATCCACCTGAGAGGACTATAAAGATTAAACACAAAAAATGTTTAACTTTAGCACTCAAAATTTTGGCAATACCAACTACTAGTATAAGCAGTACTATGGATACTACAGTAATAAGCTGCAGCAGTAGTATTTTCTTAAGAGTTAAAATACATTAATAAAATTAGCTAGAGGCTACATTTGCTAGTCCTATGATTAGCTGAACATTAAGCAAGGTTCTGCATTCCAGATGTGCAAATTAGGTGTTTTACTATTATTTTATTTCTTTTGATTTCTTTTGACTTAACTAATAATGGAAAAGCTTCTGATAGTTATATACAGATGTTATTAAAACTGTCCAGATTCTTTATACATGGGATCTAATAACGATAAAGTCACTTACTCTGGTGGAGGCATTTTTGAGGGTTCCACATCCCGCAGGAACTCACACTGAAGAGCTTGTTCTGCAGTGCAGCGCTTACTAGGATCCAAGGCGAGCATGTAATCAAATAAGTCTAGTGCAGCTGCAGGAATACTGACATGAGAAGAATACAAAAGTCACACATGTTTTTTGAAACAAGTTTAATGTTTCTTTAGAAGCTTATTTCAAATACTAGCATTTTATAACATGTTTACAATACTCCAATAAATTCTAATTTTCCTTTGAAAAATGTTTTTACATATTTTTGTAACCATTATTCTAAATTTTGACAAAAAATAATATACTTTATTACTTTATGAGCAGTTAGTTAGCTGTTGTAACTAAATTAAGAATTGAACAGAATAGTTTCCAACAGCAAAATAAAAACCTGAGCTCAAGTAACTTGAAAAATGTTTAAAACCGAAAATGCTATTAAAGTTCTTTCCTGTAAGCACCTAATCTAACACAGAAAACCAAACCACTGATGCCATATGGTAGTCAAATGATAAGTTGCATGTAGAAATGGAAACTCAAAATAAAATGACAGAAGAATTGTGATAGGTCTACTCTTGAGTCAACAGAGGATACAGTGACATTTAGAATTCACAACAAATAACCAAAAGAAAAATTCAGTGCAATATGGGTGTTTAAGCATCCCCTTCTTACAAAACAAATTCTTCTCTTAACTTTCGACGATACTGCTTCTTTGGTTTCATGGTGTTGAAATACGGCAGTTTGATTACATCGGGCCACACTGCAGGACATGGACTCCCACATATACGGCTAAACACATAAAAAGAAGTACATCACTATAAACTACAAACACAAAATAATATAACTGCTTTGCAAAACATCAACTCATTTAAGTCCTTACATAAGTATAGAGATTTTCATTAAATATTTTAGTTATCCCAACTTAATTACTTGTTTAAAGAAATTTACTGTCAGTAGATATTGTAATACTCCAAACATTCCAGTTCCTAGAAAGAAAACCTTATTTACAAAATCAAACCCTAAAACAAAGGGAACACTCAAAATGTGCTGATGTTTTGAACCAAAATAAGAAGTTTTGTGCCAATAAATTAAGGAACTAGAGTTTAGTTTATGTCTTTCTGTTTTTTCAGGTACCTGTCACTACCTCTCATCATGAATATAATGAAGTTTGCAATAATACCAGAAACAGATATCCTACACTCACAAAGGTAAGTATATTGTAAAGACTGTTGAATTCTGTCAACAGGAAGACCCTAAAAGTAACACTTTTGAATCACACCAGTTCTTTAAAATTGTGCTAGATTTCAAGGTGCTTAGAAATTTTAAATGCTTTACTCAGATTATATCTCAAAAACTCTTATTATTTTTGTATTAATAAGTCCTTGTGATGATAATTTATAGAAGAACTGCTATAACAAATAGGTAACTCTAGCTGGTATAGAGTTAAAAAACTGATTTTGGTAATGTGTAGATAAAAAATGGGTTAAATATGCTTAACTTATGTACACTGAATCCCAAGGATAAATGTACAATGTACATAAAATGATCAGCTGATCTTTAAATGTAAAAAGGCCCATGTATCAGTGACTAAAAGAATATTTTATACATAAATATAAATGCATGCAGCAACGTGTATGAAAGTATTTGACAACTAAAATTGCCATTCTTTAGCTGAGCTTTAGAGCACTATCTCAGACAACCTCTAGCATCTAAGCTGTATGTCACTCAAACTGTGCTTTTTGTTTCAATATAGAGTAATCCCCCTTATCTATGGGGCATATGTTCTAAGACCCTCAGTGGATGCCTGAAACCATGGATAGTACCAAACCCTATGTATGCTATGTGTTTTCCCTATACATACGTACATACCTATGATAAAGTTTAATGTATAAATTGGGCACAGTGTAGATTAACAATTATAATAATCAAATAGAAGAATTATAATATTCTATAATAAAAGTTACATGAATGTGGTCTCTCTCAAAATATCTGTTGTACTGTACTCACCCTTACACAGCGTGGACACAGGTGGGAAGGACTGGGATCACGTAAGATTTCATCATATTACTAGGAACAGCGCGCAATTTAAACTTATGGTTTATTTCTGGAATGTTACATTTAATATTTCAGACCACAGATAACTGAAGTCAAAACCACGGACAAGAGGGAACTATTGTACTATAGTTTAGGAGCCCAAGCTTCAAAAAGGTATCAAAAATCTTCTTTATCCATTCCCAATCTTTTCTTCCTTACAACCCAATTATCGCAACCTCCTCAAAAATACAATGGTTTTCTTAGGAAAGAAGGCCAAATAGGAACATGGCTATTTATGATCTGATCCCAAACTGCCTTCCCTAGTCTCACCTCCCAATTCACCTCTCCCCAAAGACCAACTATGTCTTCATATCCATGCTCATATTCCTTCTCCCTAGATGCTATCTGAATGCCTTTCATTTCTCAAGATTCATATCAAAAGTATTCCATTGATAGAAGTTTTCTGTATCCCCAATGCTAATCAATATGGTCACTCTTCGCATGCTACTTGTTTCTTTTGACAGTTTCATCTTGTTTTATATTTTAGTTGTTTACATCTATGTTTCTCTTACTAAATTATAGTTTGGGAACCGTGTCCCTTAAACAATAGACAAGTGGGAAAGGGAGTAAGAGAAATATGTTACTGGCAAAGAAAAGTGCACAAGCAAAGGCATGGAATTAGTCAACTATAAACACGTGGGATAAGGAATAAAGATATCAGTATAGGAGGAATTTAGAGCTCAGGTAGGTTTATCTGGAAGATAAAAAGGGGCCATGCAATATATCTTTAAGAGGCAGCTTGCCTAACTAAAGTTGATCCATAAACAATACAAGTTTGAACTGCATGAGTCCACTTATACAGATTTTTTCAATAAATACCGTAAATGTTTTATCTTATGATTTTGTTAGTAACATCTTTTCCCTAGCTTACTTTATTGTAAGAATACAGCATATAATATAGATAAAATATGTATTGACTGCTTCTGTTATCAGTAAGGCTTCTGGTCAACAGTAGGCTATTATTAGTTCAGTTTTGGGGAGTTAAAAGTTATACACAGATTTTTGACTGCACATGGGGTCAGTGCCTCAACTCCCCCACATTGTTCAAGGATCAACTGTATAATGAAAACAAACTCTGAAAACAAACTTTAGAACTGAATTCTGTCTGTGTGATAATTGTCAAACTGTATTATGTAAAAATTTATTTCTCCTTTCATAAAATGAAGATTAATTTTACTTTAGAGCTGTGCAATTAAATGAGCTATCATCTAGCCCATTAATAGCCTGATAATATATATTGGTTTCATTATCTCTTAGCTAAAGAGTTTTAATTATTTTATTATATGTGTTGTGGGAAAAAATCTAAATACTACTAAAATTATTTAACTGGTAGCAACATACAGGAATTGATGATAACTGTATATTAGCAACATTTGTGCCTGATGGCCAACAAGCTCTCCCAAAATCATTTACTGAAGATGTCTTAAAATGCATCATGTGCTAAATCCCAAATAGCTGAAGTCTATTTTGGGAATCTACTCTGTCCTACTGATTTTAATATTCTGATGTCAATACTATATGATAGCTTTATATTTTTTTCTGATGCTGAGAGGACAAACCCCTCTATCTACCCATTCCTTTAATTACTATTCTCAGAATTCCTTACAGATAAAATGTAGAATCAATACTACCACACTCCAAAAGTAGGAGAATACTATTGGGACTCAACTTTCGCTGCAAATTTATAGATTTATTCAGAAAGGACAACTATTCTTACAGCTTAATATTTCTATCTCAGAAAAATTTTTATATTTCCTTCATTTTTATATATATTACTTCAATTAGATCTTTATATTTCTTTTAACGCATTTTACTTTTTTCAATATGTTGTTCCTCTTACTATATTTCCTAAGTACTAACTAGAAAAGTTTTGTTACAGGAAAAGCTTAAAATTTGACATACAAAATTTTAGGTGGCCATGTGAGATCCTGTGATTCCTAACAGTTTTAGTAGCTGTTTCTTTGAAGTTTTCCAGGTTTATAATTATATTAGATACAATAAGAATTCATCTACTTTTTCTAATGATTCTTCTTTATCACTGTTATGTTATATTATATAGCAATTTCTAAACAATGTTAGAATGATAATGATGCGCTACACAATATTAGATAATTTTGTTTTGTCACAGATTTTTTAAAATCTATTTTTTAAGGTTTTATTTATTTAGTTTTAGAGAGAGGGGAAGGGAGGGAGAAAGAGGGAGAGAAACATCTATGTATGGTTGCCTCTCATGTGGCCCCCACTGGGGACCTGCCCTGCAACCCAGGCATGTGCCCTGAGTGGGAATTGAACCAGCAACCCTTTGGTTCACAGCCCACACTCCATGCACTGAGCTACACCAGCCAGGGCTTGTTACACATGAATTCTTTTTAATGGGAGTACTTTCATTGGTCTACCACTGGGAAAGATGATGACTTTGGTTTGAAATACATAATACATAATAAAGATATTTACAGACACATACAAATTCACATACATGTCCTATTTAGGAAGCATCCATTTATTCCTTTTCACTATGGGTTTTACTTTTGTGGCTTTTAAATATTTAAAGGATACTTAACTTTTATCAGTTTGATTTTTAGAAACTTGATATAATCATTATCTGCATTTTCTTCCCTAGGCTTCTATGTATTGAGAGATTTCCTAACACTTAATCATCCTTACATTCAAACGAGAAATACCACCTGGGCCTAATAAAAATAGTATTATTTTAGTATAATGATGTATTCTACTTGTTAATTTGTTCTGAATTAATACTCATATGATATTGTTATACAGAAGCAGTGTTCAAAATTGGGGTCCAAAGACTCTTGGGTGTCCCCTAGACCTTGCAAAGCTCTGGCAGGTTAAAGGTATTACTAAGACATTATTGCCTTTTTCAATGTGTTGACTTTATACTGATGGTGCAAGGCTAATGCTGAGTAAAACAGCACCTTAGCATGATTAAAGGCAGTGACACCAACAACAGTAGTAAGTACTCTGCACTACCACACAATCTCAGGGCAGGGAGGAAGCGAGTTTCACCTAAGAATGTATTTATTGAAACAGTAATAAAAAAATGTTATTAAACACTAACACTTGAGTATACATCTTTTTAATAGTCTGTAATAAAACAGAAAATACTTATAAAGCACTTCTACCACACAACAGGTCTGACAGCTATCTTGAGAAGCATCTATATACAATTATTCGAGCTGCAAGCTGAAGTAGCTTCTTTATTCATGAAACATTTTTTCTCAAATATGATCAAGGTCAGTTTGTTACTTCAAGGAAGACAACAGCAATATTTGTTGTCAATTATACAATTCAAGCTTTTAGGAGAAAATAAAATACCAGAAAACTTATTATCTACACCATGAAACTGACAGCTTCACAATAAATACCTAAAGGCTTTTCTAATAAGATTAGTGGTGATCATAATATAATGAAATGTAGCATTTCGAAAAGATGCTCAATTCAGTGATACAATATTTTCCAAATGACCAATATACATAATTTATAAAATCATCATAGTTGTAAAAGATCCATTCAGAGTGTAAGAAAGACCAATGGATTTTAATATATTACAGTATAAAATATTACTTGGTTTGGTTTCAGACTACACATTGTATCTAACCTGTAAAAGATTACCATTTATTTAGTGCAATTTCAAAAATGAATATGCAGAATTATCTGAAAAGACTAGTGACAATAGTAGATCACACACACAAAGATCCCAGGTATACTCTATTAAGGAAAACATTAAACAATTTGTAAAAATATAAAAATGGTATTGATTTCATCAAGATTTATTTACATTTGGAAAAATATGTTTTAGATGCCATTTTAACATATTAGTTTTAAAGGAATTAAAAATACTTTTATTTTCTCATTTTAATTTCTAATAACTATCAGTAGATACAACCAACATAAACAAAGGTCCTGGGATTGTTCATAGTTTTTAAAAATGGAGAGAAGTTCTCAGACCAAAACAATTAACAAGCACAAGTCTACAGAATTTTTTATGATATTGATTTATGATTTTATGCCATTGACTTAGGATTCATTTTTTAAAATATGGGAATTTTCCTTCTTTTCTTGCATTCTGAAAAAACCGAAGCCTGTGCCTTTGAAATTTTTAAAATTTTACCTGTGTTACCATCTAGGCCTGAGGCTTTTGGAAGAAGAGTGGTAGGGGGTAGTGGGGAAGGTTGGATACAGAAGAGGAAGATTCTTTTCATTCTGATTTAAGTGTTTTCTATTAAGGCTCTTCTACTGGCTGCTGTAAGTCTTAGAGTTAAAAAGTGCTGATTCATGTAAAAAGTTTTTCCCTCATTCCTTCCATTTTGCCCTCACTTTTGCTTTTCATTATCTTTTGCCATCACTTTTTAAGTCATGCTCTACTATCAAAAAACCTTTGGTAATCTGCATAAGATACTTTCTAGAGCAAGGTAAAATACAGGTTACTTGACTACTGTAGTAGTATAAAGCTCTTTAAGACAGATTCTGATTAGTGTTCCATTGTTGATCATTTTACATGTATTTTTGCAATACAAATTCCAGATCTCATCATTCCTGAGGCTTTCTTTTAGTTGGGAGTAATATTGCAGCATTACTGCAAATTAAGATGAGGGGGGAGAAGTATGTACTAGGAAACTTACATTTATTTCTTCAACATTAAGCATATTATTAGGCCTGTTTTACTTGTGAAGGAACAAACTTAGAACATTACAGAACTTACTGTAAGTCATAAAAGCAGGAAGTAGCTGAGAGGTCATTAGAACCGAGGTCCAAAAGATTCCAAAGCCCACCCCTTTCAATATACACTCTGCTGCCTCCTTCAAGTCAGGGATACTAGTTTCTTTTATCAGAAACTTCCATTTTCTCTTCATGTTTTAAAAATAATGCTATAGAATCAAAGTTGTATCATCGCTTTTTGTTTTAATAAATGTTTGGTATCTTACCAACAAAACAAAAATATTCTGAAATATATAAACTATAAAGTAAAACAGGTCTACATTGAGATAAACAATTCCAGACTCTTGATGTATTTGGTTTTACCTAAATGGGATCAAATTAAATATAGCCTCCTAGAAAACTGCTCTTTTCATGCAATTATGTTGCTTTTCCATGTCAATATTTCCAGATCTACCATTTCTTTTTTATTCGGTTGGCCAAAACAGTTTGTTTAGTTTTTTCCATAGGATGGCTCTATTAGTGCTTAGTTGCCTTTAATTTCATTCAAAACAATTTTGTTAGACTGTATTATTGGCAGCTGTCATATCAGCATTCATTTACAAAAAAAAAACATCAAAATTGGTCAATTTTTGTGCAGCCATTTTAATATTGAAGAGGGAAGAAGATACACAACATTTTTGGTGTATTATGCTTTATTATTTCAAGAAAGGTAAAAATGAAATTGAAATACAAAAGATTTGTGCAGTGAATGGAGAAGGTGCTGTGACTGATCAAATGTGTCAAAAGTGGTTTGCAAAGTTTCTTGGTACTACTGACATTTTGGCCAAGTAATTCTTTGCTATGGGGCTGGAAAATGTTAGCAGCACCACTGGCTGTCACCCCCTAGAAGCCAAGAGTGGGAGATAGCTCAAAATACCCAAATCAATAAAGTTATTGTTGAAAATGAAAAATGTGTCTTTTATTTTACATAAAAACTAAATGGACTTTTTGGCCAACTCAGTAAGTAGATGGACAGAGCTTTCTTTCTTTTTCTATATGATTCAGAGTTAACATGCTCATAAAATAACTCAAGTACACTCATACCTCAGGATTTTTTTTACTTTTCTATTTCCTCATTTCTTTCAAATTTCTGCTCAAATGATACCTTATGGGAGACATTCCCTTACTATGTACAACGCTACCTCCTATCATTTTTTTATCCTCTTACACTTATAACCACCTGAGATTTTATTGTTTGTCTCCAACTAGAAAGTATAAAAAGTTGTGTGCCAGTTACTAAGCACTGAGGGTACCAACTGGCACACAACCAGCAATCACTAAATACTGTTCAATTAATCCCCCTGACTTGAAATGTCTTCTTCTTATAATCTAAGGTCCATAAAAGCTTGCTTTATTTCTGAACTTTCCAAAAAATTCCACTGATTTATGTATTTTGTGCAAGTACAAAATGGCATTATTAGTTACTATAATTTTGTTTTAACAAGATATGCCAAATTTTCCTTCTTTTTAAGAATTTTATTGGTTATTTTCATATTTATCCCTCCAGGATGAACATTAAAATCAATCATTATTTCAAAAAATGTCTTCTAAAATTCTCATTAGAATTATAATGATATAGGATGAATTACCATCTTTAAAAAGTTAAGGCTTCCTAGCTGAAGACAAGATACGCCTCTCCAATAGTTTTTCAAGTCTTCTTTACAATTTTAAGTGGGACATTATAGTTTTCAATATTCCTGGGGTATATATGGTGGTGGTTAAAAAGCATCTTTTCTACCCACAATGTTTCTATTATTGGTTCATATTTTGTACAGCTATTGTTTTTAGTACGTATGTATTAGTATATACTATATAGTAGTTCATTTTTGTGCATACACACACACACACAGATATTTTCTTAACCCTTGTCACTTGACCCAACTTTCTATTTAAGGTGTTTCAGGTGATTTCGTTATATGCATGCATGTATGCATGCATGCATACATGCAATGTTATCATAGACAAATTATGACAATACTACCCTCATCTTTCCACTAACTATATCCCTTATTGGATCCCTTTTCTATCCTATTAGGTAATTGATTAGTACTTCTAAAATAGTCATAAATAACAGTACTAGAAGACAACTTTTCTCACTCGTCTTTACTTCTAGTATTTCACCACTAAATATTCAGGATTCTAGTTTCTGATATATATTTTTATCATGTTATAGAAATATCTCTCTACAGTTCCTTAGTTAGCAGTTTATATTTCTAGCAAACGCCTATTCAACACCTATCAAGATAAACATTTTACTTCTATTAAAACGAAGTTACTAGAATTCCTAAAATTGAAATATCCTTGTATTCTTGAGATAAACTTAACTTGACTTTCATTTTCTAATGAAAAGCTGGACACTATTGGCTAATCTCTCCTTTAGAATTTTGGACTGATATTCTGTAGAAACTTTATCAATTGGGTGTTTGTGTCATATGGACTTTTTAAGAAGTTGCAGAAAGGTTTACTTCCTATTTAGTACTGAGAATTGGTTAAAAGTTTAGATACTAAGGTAAAACTGTATATATTTACATTTCAATTTTGTCACCATACTAATTGTTTGACCCTGGACAAATTCTTTACTTCTATAAGGTCCCATTTTCCTAACTTTAAAAAGAAGACACAGGGTTGTTATAGAGATTAACTGAGGCCAATTCAGGTGAAATTCTTAGAACAGTGCTTGCATTGTGTATAAGTAAATAAATGTGAACTTATTATTAATAGATGTCCTAGTATCCAATATTATTAGGAGAAGCAATAAGCAAACTGAAAAAATGGTTAGAGGGAATCACTTAAAAAAAAAAGATACACAAATACATAATTTAAACATTTTATTGTAACTGAAAATTTATAAATGGACATTTATTCTCCAATCTCCTGACATAGAGCAAAGACCTTCTCTTGAACAGAGGATTCACTGAATGAGATTCTGCATTAGCTTTCTTGTACAAACCATACCCATAAACATATCATCAAGGATTAAAGACAATCTGAGTGTCTTCTAAATTTTTACAGCTTTTCTTTGTAACTTATAATTATTAGAGTTACTAGAGAGTAGTAGCACACTAGCTAGAACAATTCAGCTTACCATGTTATCTAAGCTAGTATTATTTACAAAAGGAATCGAAAACATCTATTAATCCACTAAGTCTGTTGAAGGGAAAATTCATAGTACATTGGTACCTGTGTCTCCTACCAATATCTTTTCAAAAGTTTTCATCCATATTTTCAAACATTCATGGAAATCTTATAAGCTGTAAACTAACATTATTATATTTGTATATGAAAATAGCTCTTCTAAAAATTAATTTATTTTAAAACATTACATGAAGGAAAAGGTAACTAATGTATAATAATTCCTTATAATCTAGATCCTATGACAGGCTCCAAATAATGAAGACCTATGCTAGTGGATAGATGCGCATATTTTGCTGTGTGTACATACATATATAGATACATATAAAAGTGTATGCACAGATGTATATAAAATAGAGTATTTCTTTACAATATTCCCAAACATTAATTCTTTCATACTGTCACACTTATAAGAAAATTACCATTCATTTTCTTCATATAATAAGATCTTTTCTCAGTCTTATCTGTTTGACCTAAAACCCTTTGACTTAATCACAAAAGACTTAAGGACTTTAAGATCCTTAATTTTGCAAGAGCAAGTATCCAAGTGCCCACATTCTAATGTTTCCTCTCTATCCAGCAATCATAGAGCCTTGAAGAGAACCATGCTATTCTCTTCCTGAAAATAGTCTGAAAGATTTTAAATTTCTTATAGAGCACAACCACCCCCACCCAGCAAATATAACAACCTCGAATGTACCTTATTAATTCTAGTTGTGCAAGTTCCTGATTTGCTTGAAATATAGGTTTTTTAGTGAAGAGTTCACCAAGGATACATCTAGTAAAAAAAAAATCATAACCAAATTAACGATGATTTTACTTTACTAAGAAAAGTTTCAAATAAGTTAAACTAGTCAGTAAGTCTATCTTACCCACAGCTCCATACATCAATAGCTGGCGTATATCGTTCTTCTCCCAGTAGCAGTTCAGGTGGACGATACCATAAAGTGATGACCTTGTTAGTATATGGCCGACTTAAAAAAAAAAAAAAGAAAGAAACCAACTCTTTAGAGTTAGTATCTGGTTGAATAAGAGATATTCTCTTAGGAAATATTATTATGGCTGATCAAAGTACCCCTAAATTCCTGACTAAAACTACTTTCATAGGCCTACTAAATTCAGACATGTCATAACATCTAACACATGATCATAAAATACATCTGAGAGCAATGTGATTAACTGAAAAATTCCCTTAATGTATAAAAATAAAAAGTAGTTGGCTTTTTACTATAATCTGGTTAAAGAAAGGTCTATCAATTCAACTGTTCAATACTGTTTTTCCTTTCCATAATAACTTTTAAAGAGATTAAGTGATTTAAAGGAAGTTGATTTTGACCCAATCTGGCAAATTGCTAATATACAGTAAAGACATAGTTCAAATTGGAACCACCTTATCAAAGTTCTCAACTGGGCATATCTTTGGCAATCTTTCATTGATTTCAATCTACTTTAGTATGTGAACAGAAGGCACAGAAATGTAGATTGTAGTACTTGAGGTCTATGCTGCAAAGAACCACATAGTACAAATTCTCTGGCAAAATGTTTTCAATCCTCAGAGAATGATCATGTTCCACCGATTTACATAAATAATGAGAGTCTTAAGAACTTAGAGGTAGTTCTTCCACTGATGGTGTTTAGCATATATACTTCACGGTGATCGCTTTGGCCTTAGATCAATTCTAAACTCTCTTTCTGGATATCCTCCAAATAACAAGGGCATCAAAGCCATATCATAGGAAATTTCCCAGTAGGCTGTATTCCACTTGAGGGAGGGAGGCTTAGATCTGGACCAGTTTGGGGGATAAAGAAAAAGAACTTATAACTTATAAAGCAATTCCCTTTTGCCAACTGTAGATCTGAAGTTCCAGATAGCATAAAGCCTCAGCAGCCTGTCTACTCTGCCCCCATCCAGCCAAATTTCTCCAAATAATTTGAACACTTGTACTATAAGCCATCAATCACAGCATTCCCATGTACAGAACTACAGTAACAGTGTGCCAAAGCCAGGAAAAAAGTAAGTGTCCTTGGTATAAATTGTGAAAATAAGCATAGTATAAGATGTATATTTTTAAAAACAAATTAGGATTAGATTTTTCTAACATTATTCAAGTACTTTTCTTAGTGGCTTTTGTCTGTTTACCAGCATTACTCATCTTCATATAATAAGATCTTTTAAACTCTAGCTACTCTAATTAAGCTGTACTTAATCTTTCTCTAAAAATATGTTCACCTCTTTATGCCTAATTCCCTTTAACTCTGAAATCTCTCCCCAATTTTTCTCATTTAAATCCTACAACTCTTTTAACAACCATCTCCATAAAGTCTAATCTCTATTTATAATATATTTATTTTCATATCTTTAAATTTCTATCATACTAACCATGATATTAAACACTGTATTTTATATTTTCTACCTTCCCCAAAAGTCAAAAAACCCCAGAGACCATTCTTTATTGTGACCCCCCCCCCCCCACCAAAAGCCCAGAAAAATGCTGGGCAAAGGGCAGACACATTAATGTATATAAGGCCCTACAACTGTAGGTGACATACATGAATTAGCTACCTAGGTGAAAGAATAAAGTCTGTGAAAATTATGATGACTAGTTTTCTAAAACAACTCAAGTGTCTATAAGTACATGAAGCCCACGATCTTGTTATTCAATTGCAACCAGTTAACTACAGTCTCAAGAAAATATTTAAATTAATATAAATCTATCTATAAAAAGTTAATTAAAAATCTTTTTATATTTAAAAATGTTTATCATTTTTAAGAAGCATGTTGAACTGTGTGGGGAAATTACACAACTTTAGGCTACTAAATTCTACTGAAAAAGGAATATTTAAATAAGATTATTACTTTATATTATATATGTGAATATCAAGTTGTAGGCAACATTTAGAACACATACTTTAAACTAGCTTTTTGAACTAGTTGGTAATAAACTTTTAAAAGCTAACATTGACAACAGATAATAATAAAAATGATTGTTTTATTAAAGTCAAGAAGAAGCTTTTGATGATGTATTCCAAAATTTTACAAAATAGGTGCCACATACCACTTTCGACCTTAGTGTTAATTGATATAGAAGCAAACATTGAGAAAGTGCCCTGGCCAGTGTGGCTCAGTAGGTTGGAGCGCTGTCCTGTACAACCATAAGGTTGAGGTTCAATCTCCATTCAGGACACATACGGGAGCAACCAATGTTTCTCACAGCAATCAGGTAAGGATAAAAGAAACAGCACATATCAAGAAAGTATGCAGATAAAAGGACTTTAATCATAAAAGTAAATTCCAAGGTAGGTGGAGGTAGCAGAAAATAAAGCCAACTGAATCAGCCAGTTAATAATTATTTATAGCCCTGAGTGGTGTGGCTCAGTGGGTTCGGTGTGGAAACCCAAGGGTATCCGAATGATTCCAGTAAGGGCACACATGTGGGTTGTGGGCCAGGTCCCCAGCTGGAGGCATGTGAGAGGCAACCAACTGATGCATCTCTTGCATATCAACATTTCCCTACCTCTCTTTCTCCCTCTCCCTTTCCTTCTAAGAATAAATAAAACCTTAAAAAATATATTCATAGTATTATCAAGAAAATATTCCATGTTAGGATTAGGATCTATATTTATAAATGTAAAGACAAAAAGTAAAAGGCACTGAAACTATGTTTTGAAGAGAGGACACTTAAATCTCAGAAAACAATTGTACTCTTGTAAAATGAAGTATATCATTCAAAATCTGACAAATAAATGAAAATCCAGAATCTCTCAAAAATGTACATTTCAAACTTGGTCTATTAGGTTGGCTACCCACTGTCAACCTTCTAAAGATGGTCCTGTTTAGATCACAAAAAGAAAACACAAACTGATGTGACATCACATGTACAATGCATTTTTTTTTCTCTCATGGATTAAAAAAAAATTACATTCCTTAGAAATGTCTACTCAATCTCTCCACACACACACAAACACACACACAAAATTCATTCATATTGAAAAAAGAGACAGGAATGAAAAATATATGATCATGTTCCTAGGTGTTACAGAGCAAATTAATACACTTTAAAAAAAAATAGAAAATGAACCACCAAAATTTATTCTCATAATTAAAGTTAAATTACAAGCAATAAAATTTCATCACCTAGCAAAACCAACACACACACACACACGCAATCCCTCTTCCATTAAATTAGGAAAAAACCCCAGGAATACCAATAAGCTGTTACTCTTGGATGGCTAAAAATGAAACTCTGTAAGAATCAAGGAACAATGGTCTCAACATTATATACTGTGAATTTCAATTTCTACTAAATATCTTCATCTATAAACCTCACTAACAGTTTTTTGTTATTTTTTTTTAAAGAAAGCAAAAACTATTTCTTGGGAATAGTTTGGGAACTAACACCTAAAAGTAAAAACAATTCCTTTTTATTTTAAACCATCTACTTTAATGTAACTAACAAAATATTAAAATGTAATGTCATTAGACTTTTAGTTATAAAACTTTCATGTGAAATCTCAGGTAATTTTAAACATTTGATGTTATCAAAATATTTCTTACTTATGAAACTTATCAGATATTTAAGAAACCTTGAGGGAGATTTAAAAATGAAAATATCACACACTTGCTAATAACCTGCTGAACATTAAATAATCATACATCATTTGACAAAAATAAAATATCACATTTGAAAGGCAAGAGAACAGAGAGTAAAATTTAGCAGACTATTTGCTACAAAAGAACTCTTAACAAACTGCCATCTATCTCCAAAGCAGACTTTAGAGGCCCCTTGAGCTCTCTACCTGTTGAGATACTTTTTAGGTTATTAAGGTTAGATCCAGAGTCTAACCAGGGAAGCACTCCAGTGCATTATTGACAATAAACAGCCTTTCTGCCAAAAGATCCAAGTTCAATTTTTATTTAGCTCTGCCACTTGCAGTATGATCCTGGAAATACACTTCAGTTTGCTAAACCTTAATTTCTTTGTTATAAAATGTGCATAAGAATAATGATTATCTACACCACCCATCTCACAAGATGCTTTCCCTTAAAATAATTCTTGTGAAAGGAAACTATATGTGATAGAGCACCATGCACAAATGCTAGTTAAGTTTGTTCCTTTCTTTATAAGTAACAAATATTTACTATAATTCTAAGCTAGACAATGCACTAAAACTAAGCACTAACAGATGGCTGGATCAAACAGCCAACCAATCATGGTTGTAGCTGTTTAGAGACTCAGAGTCTGGTGACAATATACTAGATATAAATTATAATAATAAATTCTAAGTATGATAAAAATAATGAATAATGTACTCTGGACATGTAAAGAAAGGAAGATATGCCAATGTCATCTGTGGGATTCATGGAAGATTTCAAAGGAGGTAATGCAAAAACTGCACACTAGAGAGAAAAACAACAAATTTGTCAGATTGAGGTAATGGGAAGTATAATTCTATATAAAAGAAAACAACTTACGTAGATTCACAAAGGTAGTTCAGAGTTCAGCTTGTTTAGGGAAGTGCAAATAGCTCAACAATGCTATTATCTGGGGGCAGGGGATGGTAGCTGGTAAGACTGGCAGAGGAAATGAATATTACAAAAAAGACCAGAGGCAGGAAAACCAATTAAATTTCCTTTGCAATGGTCTATATGCAACATATCTACATGTGAGAATGACTGAATACCTGTAACTAAAGCGGGAAATAAAGGAAAAGAAAAACTTTTCAAGGGGATGTGAAGATAGGTCTTGTAGCAATATGTTTAACATACTTAAATCATCTACAAGGAGATATATGTCCAGTAAACACACAAGTTTAGAGATCAGAAAAAAGATCAAGGATTAAAATTCAGATATGTAAGTCTTCAGCATGAAGGGAACTGATGAGATTTCTCCTACATGAGTAGTAACACTGTACCCTAAAAAATTAAATTACCTTTCCCATTTTATATGATCAAAATGTTACCTACTTTTTCAGG